CAACCTAAGCATCCTCCCCCATGGGACCCGTGCTTGCGGTGCCAGCCGCAGGCTGCCTGCAAAAGCGAGGTGCCCCGAACATTGCTGGGAGTGGAGGGGTTTGTCTTCCCCTTCAGCCACTGCACAGCACAGGCTTGTCTCCGGGCTGACCCAGCAGCTCGAGGGTGCCGGGGGGGGTTCCCAGCATCTGCATAGCTCCCCGCAGAGATGCTAAGCTGCGCTTTCAGGGCCTCAGGAGATTTATGTCTGCTGGGGAAGGAAGGGTCAGAAAGAGCATCTCTTAAAGGATGGTGGAAGTGTTATGTAGGCAAGAGCAGCAAGCAGGCAGGGCTGGCTGCTCTTAAAACAATTTATTCTGCTGCTGGCAGGAGCGATGGAGCAGTGCCCTCCCGCGGTGGGTGCCCGGGGGCACCCGGGGGGCTGCAGCCTCCTGCACCTTGTGCTCCTTCTCCCACAGGGCCTTTAGCTTGCGGTAGTACACCCTGCAGCTGTAGCCCTCCTGGGAGCTGTGCTGGATGTGGGTCTTGACCGACCACAGCGTGGGGAAGATGCGGCAGCATGACATGCACTGGTAGGCATGCTGGGGCACTGGCTGCTTCTGGGAAGCAGTGAGGATGTCCTGGACCATGATGCTGGCTCTGCTGCTGGGCAGCCTGACCCTCTTGGAGGGCTGGAGCTCATCCGAGGAACTAGAGGAGGAGCAGACGATCTCTGAGAGGTCATCAGGCTCCTCATGCTCCTGGGTGCTGGTGGCCAGGCTGGAGGAGAGGCTGCCCGGGTGCTGCTGGGTGGCCTCTTTGGTGCACACAAAGTAGCTGTAGGGTGACAACCAGGGTCGGTAGATGGTGCGGGCAGGGAGCTTGCTGCCCCACGGGGCTGTGGGGCCACAGGCTGTGGAGGAAAGGGTCTGCAGTGAGTTTGGGGTCCCTGTAACAGCCTGGCCCCCCATGGGGTGGGGAGTGGTACTGGGGACCCTTCCTCTCTGTCTCCGTGCTCTGTCCCAGTATATTCCCCCAGCGTGGAGGGTACCATCCCTCCGCCCATGGGACGCAGGGGTTCAGGATGCTGATGGGCACCGAGGTACTGGCAGAGCACGAGGATCACCCAGCAGCCCACTGGAGCCATCCTACAGAAAGCTACACTGGCACAGGGGCAGCGATGAGGGGGCCGAGCTGGCGCTCCTGGGGGCAGCACCAACAGCTTTGAGGATTCATGCTGGGAAGACATGGGGGAGAAACTGGTGTAGCTCAGAGGTGGAGTGGG